TTTATTTAAATCCCGCGGGGGATATTTAAATCCCCCGTGGATTTCCCTATTCTGACTTGCCTGCTTTGCATGCCTCTTCCGGAGAGGCCAGTCTAGACGTAGCCAACCAGTTTAACAGCCGTTCGAGCGACCCCCTGTATCCAAGCCTCAGGGAGACCATCCAAGCCTCAGGGAGACCATCTGAGAGGAATCCTTAGCTGTCTGTTAGACTCCCTAGTCAGACCCGCCATCGCACTATCGTGCAAGTATGAAATACTCCCTGGTCAGAACAGGATGTGAGAGCTGGGATGGGCAGATGAAGGGAGGGGTAGGCTGTAGCTCCCTGAACAGTGCCCTGTATCCAAGCCTCAGGGAGACCATCCAAGCCTCAGGGAGACCATCTGAGAGGAATCCTTAGCTGTCTGTTAGACTCCCTAGTCAGACCCGCCATCGCACTATCGTGCAAGTATGAAATACTCCCTGGTCAGAACAGGATGTGAGAGCTGGGATGGGCAGATGAAGGGAGGGGTAGGCTGTAGCTCCCTGAACAGTGAGGGCAGAGTAGCCCAGCAAAGCAGGGACCTGCACTCCTCTAGCTAGGGGGAAGCAGGAGTTGAAGGACAGTTTCTTCCAGAATGCTGGTGGGGGAATGGAGTAAAGCGGAGCTAGATCTGCAGGGCTAGAGAGAGCAGGTCACCATAGCCTGAGGGGGCCAAGTGAGCAGCTAGGATGGTTTATAGAAGTCCCTCACCCACTGAGCTACAGCTCAGTAACAGGAAAAGCCACATGGAATCCAGGCTAGTCTGGGGCTCTGGCTAGTTCAAAGCAGCCCGGGAGGAGGTGGGGAAGAAAAAGAGACCAAGCCCAGCCAGAGGAAGACAACCCAGCTCCCTGCCAGTGGCTCCCCTTCCCAGGCCTGCTAGAGCTTGCAGGCAGGGACAACAGGCTTTCTCCAGAGAGCTTTGCCTCTGTCTGAGGAAGAGACTTGCCTGCTCCTAGCACCAGTCTCCATCTCCCATCATCCCTACTAACTGAGGGGCAGGGCGGCACAGTCAGCTGCTCCCTGGGATCTGGCTTGGGAGGTATGAAACAAACACCACAAAACAAAATACAGCAACGGGGGCGGGGAGGAGAGAACAAGCAAGAAAACATTGATCCAGCAAGAAGGTCCTTGGCCTCATCTTTCCCATGGTGAGGACTTCCCCTCCAGCAGGGCTGCACA